TATATTCCCCTCCTGGAATTGCCACTGGAATGGATCCAGAGAGGAAATAGGTTAAAATGCAGTCTTGTGGCAGTGATATTAAAAAGCCAATGGACCGTTTGGTGACATTTATGATGAATTTTATGTACTCCATACATTTTTAATACACGCTGAGTTAAATATTATCAAATCTATAAAAAGATTATGGAAAAAAATGTCTGGTTTCACATGGGTGGACACTGCCTGGAACTCTCTCTGTGGGTTTTGTGTAAGAGAAGTGTTTGAAAGAAAACATGAAAGGGAAAAAGAAAAAAAAAACAACCCCGCAGTGCAGTTTTTGAAAACTGTTACTCGCCCATTTGGAGCCTTAAAGTCATCACACATCAAAGCAACAGAATTTCCAGGACACGAACCACAATGGGGAGGAAGGAATGGGGTGTACTAATTCCATCCCTTACACGTGCAAGAGAAAAATCAATATGATTGTCTAGTGTGGCTTTGTGCAGCTTCTGGCTCAGTGCAGTGTAAGTACGAACAGACCCTTTTCTCATCCGAATGCTTTTTTAGCAGGTCCCTAGCCACGGCTGTAGCAAACGTGATTAATAGTAGCTTTGTGCACAGGTACTAGAAGATAAACAGATGCCCTGACCCACCTAGGACCGTCCTGGAACAGGCGCTTCTCTTGATGTCCCAAAGACCATTTTACAAAAAACTACGTTGCCCCAAATTTTGTCCAAATTACGAACAGGATGGGATTTCCATCCCTCCCACTCTCACAGCCAAAGCAAGCCGTCAGCCCCCAGACACCCAGCGCGGCTCCGCCGTCCGGCACAATTCACACCAGAAGCTACAGGTAAAGTCCAAAACACGCAAAGGGAACCACGATGGGTCTGAACTGACACAACCCGCAGCTGCTTTAGCTGGTCTGTGCTGATGAGATTTGTACGCTAACATTTCGGTTCTGAAAGCCTGGAGAGACTCCAAGAAGGTGAGCGACTGCTGTTGTGCAATCCCTTTTCACAGAATCTTCTGGAACAGCTGTGGCAAATTAACTAACATTTTCTTTCTTTGCAGAAACATCCTCAGCCTATGGGGCAGGAGAGGAAAATGACCGAAATGCAGAATGCGGGCTCGTACCGATCTGTGCCCTGTGGCCTCACTGGCACCTTACGCCACTTCTGTCCGTGGCTGCGGTGACCAACCACCCCTGGACATCTCGGGACTCCTCATGAGGAGCGGTGACAGGGTGAAGGGTGCCTCTGGTGGAAGCATGACACACAACTGCAACTTCAAAACTCAATAGCTGAGAGACTTTAATATCACCTTAATGTTACCTGAAGGCTGTCCAGTCCCACGCACAAAGCAGTGGGGAGGAAAATGACAGAAGGGTAAGGGAGAATGAGAAACGGGGATGTAACGAGTCCCACCTTAGTTTCTTTCTGCCTTCCAACACCACAGACTTTGTTGGCTTTAGTGAACGCCGTCCCAGATGCAGGAGGAGGCACTTGCAAACACCCAACGCGGGTGCAGGACCCCGCGTGACGGGAAGAAGCGCACACAGCACAGCTCTGGTACGTGTGCGCGGCGCCGCGTGCTCTCCTCTACCAGAGCCCCGGCAGTGTCCTGGGAACCCTCCTAGCCGCGGCTGGCACGTCGCGTCCAGCGGCACAGGAGATGCAGTGGATCTCCACTGCACCGTGCAAACAGGGTCGGTGCTGCCGCAGCAGTTTTCCCTAATTCCATTTTTCCCCCAGGGACCGAGCCCTTGATAAAATTCTGGTGATGTCTCGGTCGCCAGTCCCCAATTCAGACAGTCCCAAAACGTGGCAAAATACACTATTGACATAATGTGCTCCAGGCAAAATGCAGCAAAGTCAGAAAAGGCCTTTCCTGCGGAAAGGTTTACAAGTCGGAAACATCACAGACAGGCTTTTCCCTGACTTTAAGAAGCAAACCAGCAGAGCACCCTCATGCTCCCCTCCCAACTCTGCCACCCAGCTCACAGCGAACTACCGCCCCGAGGACATGGTTGTCACCAACACAAAGAGCAGCAGTGGTCTGCGGTGGCCCATCGGCCCCAGAGGTGGGTGGCCGCGGCAGAGGAGCTTAACTCACCCACTGCCTCCGTCAGCGCCCTCGGGGCCGTCCCCAGGGAAGAGCAGCACAGCGCCCAGAAGGAAATGAGAAGGAAACGAGAAGGAAAGCTCCTGGGGCAGCGTACTGGCTTCTGCTTAACGCACAGCTGTCTCTTAAAGGTGCTGGGTCCACAGCTGTAGTAAACTAAGCTCTAATTCCTACAAAACAACCAAGAGAGGCACCTCCCTGGCTTTATGCTGGTTCTGGAGCCTGCTGCCAGGTCCCCTGTGACCCTGCTCCATCTCCTGAGGTTCCTCAGAAGGCGGCTGAGGAGTGGGAGGATCCCCCACGATACCCAGCTCGCTGAGCCCCGTGCTGTGTCATTATCTCTGAAGAGTCAGTTGAGGGGATGCGGCAGCATGGAGCACCCGGGAGCTCGCAGAGCTTTACGAGACTACACAGACACACGCTGCCCCGTGTAGGAGCGTTTCCATTTAAAGTTGCTTAAGTGGCGCCAGAATATACTTCAGGTGTAGTCACCTAAATCCACGGAGGTCAGCCTCTGGTGTCTGGAACTGTTTCCTGCGAATAACTGCTGCTTTGTCACACAGAAGGGACTATAAAGCTAAAGGCGTCGGTAACTGCGGGGCACTCGGTGCGGGTGGCACAGAGGCAGTAAGAACAGCGGAGCTGCTGCACTCTGCTCCCATCAGGTCACTCCGCCATCAGCAGAAGCGGGTGAGCGCTGTGGAGACCAAATTCCAGCTTTGCTGCCTGACACAGGCTTATTTCTCTTTGGTAACTACCCCACATGCTAACTTCTGACACTGTCTGCTACTTCTAAGGCAGTTTGGGGATCTCCCCTTCCGCAGATCCCCTCCCGGTCTCACACCGATACACTTCGGGGCAAACGCTGCAGCAGAAGCTAAAATTGCCCAGTGCCTGAAAGTAGGTACGCAAACCCCCGTGGTGGAACTGGGTCTTGGAGGAACTGAAATTCTGCTCATCAGGAGTAAAGAAACACTGTGAGCTTAACGGGAACGGTCCCAGCGCGAGCTCTGCGAAACACGGAAGAAAGAGCATCATTCATTTGTTAAATACAGATCACAAATCACTGTCTTGCGTAGGTCCTAAGCTTCTGCTCTAGAGAATAGACCTCTTATCTCAACAAAAGGAAATAATAATGTGCACCAGGAATAGAAAGGGATTTTACTATGGAATTGAAAAAAAAAGCCTTAATTTTTATCATTTTTAATGAGGTGTCAGATTGGTTTCTTTGACTGCGTTTAAGTAAGCTTAAGCCAGTTTTCAGTTTTTGATTTCCTAAATATTTATCCCATTTGCTTTTCAGGTATTTCATATTAGATTTAACATTAGATATTTCCTTTTAAAGACAGCTTCTATAAAGTGCCTTCCAAATTAAATCCAGCAAAATAATATGCTTTGAGACACAGTAAAATTGAAGAATATGATAATCAGTCATCAAAATCTAATTTCTCCCTTACTTGGCTTGCTGCATTCAGTGAATAACATTAGAATTTAGCCTTATTCCACAAAACCACAGGCTACTTTTTATGTAAAAATCTGCCTCATTGCGGCAAAACACTAAATTTCAAAATTAGAATTAGTTTGAAGAGTGTTTCTACAGGATGGAGATTGAAGACTTGATTTCAGAGCACTGAAAGTAGAACGTTTTGCCATTAGCTTCAGCGGTCAGACTGAGCCAGTAATGAAAATAACTCTTCATCAACACATTTCACACAACAGTTTTTGGTACCAGATAGTGCTTTATACCCAGTGTCTAGAATGACCAAAGGCTGAGCTCATTTACATCGTTGTCTCCTAAAACGATGATCAAGTGGGCCAGGGAATCAAAGCAGCAAGGGAGAAGCAAATACAGGGTTTTTTAATTAAAAAAAAAAAAAAAAGTTACATTCTGCCTAAGAATCAAATGTAGCCACAAAACCAGAATGAAATATGTTGTTTCTTCTCCTTTCTGCGTTCAGCTTTCCATGAAGCCTTTAATCAAAGAGACTCATTCCTAAACCAGATGTGTACCTCATTGTTGGAACTCCACCTAAACCCCAGCACCGCTCTCTCCAGAGATCACCTCTGACACAGGGAAAGGTGCAATTCATCACAGACTCAGCTGGACTTTATCTGCAAAGCAGCCAAAAGTGTGTGCTGGGTGGGATTTTTCACCATCAACACTCCGGTCGAGCCAAGAAACGTTTCCAGAGGCTGACGCTCGAACCACCGGGCAGGGACCAGCACTGACTGAAACTTGGTCACTCTGTTCCCAGCTCTGCTGTTGACATCACATAAAGGGGGGGAAGCCATTCCCCCGGGTGTCCCAGCCAAACCAGCGCTCTCAGCCTCCTGTCGCTGCCTTAGACACAAACCAATACTGCGCGGCCCCGATCACAGCTGAATCAAACCAACTGAACCGGTGCGAGTTCCTCAGCGCCGCCCCGAACCATTCCGTACGGACTGTTCCTCCATCAGGTCTGTTTTCAGGTGTACGAGCGTTGGGAAGAGGAACATGAACAGAGTAATGATGTTGTGCGCAAACTTTTTGGAGCACTCGGCGTTCTCAGAGACGTAAATAACACCATGAAATGCCACATGGGATATGTAAGTTGCTTTAATAATAATAAATTTATTAAGTGGCAAGAAGCCACTCTGCTTTGTAAACCGATTTTACTCAATCACAGTCCCTCTATTTTTTTTCCTCATTTAACATGAATACATTCTGTAATTTGTATGTGAAAGATTTACGTAGAGATATGTTCTGGACCACTCTTGCTGATTTTACTGGTCAGAAAAACATTAAACATGCGGAAACAGCACCTTATTAAAACTATAGGCCTTTTCTCACTACATCTCCTTTGCTGCTAAGCTAAATTGTCACTGAATAAGCCAAGTCTACAGAGGTTTTTTCTCCTTGTCCTGTGCTCTGAGATGTAGTGGGGCCTGCAGAAATGTCTGATAAAACCTCACAGACAACAAGTAACTCAGAAGGCTTTGTAAGCAGTAGCTGCAGTTGCTTCTTCAGACTAGAGAGAGCTTCTCATGCGCTAAATGCACTTGGTTAGGTTTTGTGAGGAGCTCAGAGGAGGATGCGCCCTCTTCCTGATATAGTTTGTTGAGCCTGGACTCTGCACCACTGATATTGTTCAGCAACTGTCTGCACCAATAATTTAAAAAAAAAAAAACAAACAAACAAGAAATCAGGCTGTTTTTATCAGAAACAAGTAATAAATCTTATCACGGTAGTAAAAAAAATGGCAATTTCTGATGCGTGACATTTTCATTGCTTGAGAATGAATCAGTGCAAAGTGAGGTAACCCACGCACCCCGTCACTTAGGGCTGGGGCGCATTAAACCAGGCGCCGCCTTTTGGAGTCCCTCTCCATATCTTCAGCGGGAGAGTCCCCATTGCACCCTAGAGGGGACACCATGTTTAGCAAAGGGTCTTCAGATGCCCCTCCAAACAGGGACAGCAACAAAGCCACGCCATAGCCAGTAGCTCGTTCACCCTAGAAAAAAAACAAAACAACACACCCAATTCACACTTCAGACTGTATGATCTGAATCTAGTTTTAATTTACCTGCTCACTCAACAAGAGCAGTGATGGCGCATGGCCACAGCCGGTACCCGGGGTCCCCGGCAGATCTGCTCAGCTTGTGCTTCTGTATCCTTACTGCTGTCGGAATCTGTCCCCGTTAGGTTAAACCAACGCATCGGTTGATTCACGCGAGAACAGAGCTCACACTGACTGGAGGGTGGATTTATGCTAGCGTTGTTCAGGGCAGGGAAGGTTCCATCCAGCATGAGCATGGATTTGGAGCATGAGCTGAGTAAGTTGGGTGTAAAAAAAACCAGGAGGCGGGGGGAGCAAATTGGCTTGTGTATATTCTTTTTTCCTAAAAAACAAGTTCCATCACAGGGAGGAGGGGAAATCCCCAAGAGGAAACAAATGTTTTCTCCACTGCAGGTCAGCAGGCAGGAAAATCAACTCTGGTCAATCGTCTTAAAACAATATGGGTGAAAATGGAAGGCTAGGATTATTGCCATGAACTAAAAGCAGGCAAGGTGTCAAAGTTTACAATGGTGATGTTGCTGATTAAAGCAACAGAGTATTTTAAAACCAAAATGAAAAATGTGAACAGATGAAGCTACCAAAACAACTTCCCAACACAGATGAAGAGTCAATGCTTTTCGAAAGAACTCTTTGCCACCTAATTCTCTCGCGTCGAATGATGGCTCGGATTCAGAACCCCCGCAGGCGCCAGCAGCTTGCTTTGCCAGCCCGCGTGCCCAGGGAAGTGCCACAGGTCGCATGAACATACTCACGGCGTGAACAGGCGCTGCAATGTCTAAGTGGACCCAGACCCCAGGCCAGTCAAAGCCAATGTGAGAAGCAATGAAGAGCCCGGCACAGGAGCTTGGAGTATTGTCTCGGTCCTGGAGAAACAATAAAAAGACAGTTGGTCTTGCAAGAGAAGAAAACGTCAGTGTTTTATTCTCGCCTACAGAAGGGACAGCAGTGCAAATCTAGTTCACAGCTTAACGAATGGCCCTGAAAGACACGTCTTCGCTGACCAACTATACTGTAAATCCTTTGACTTAATCCCCGGTAGCAGTCTGGTCCTGCTCAATTCCTCTTCTGCCCAAGCTCCTTTCCACTGTTTTTGGAACTTAGTGCAGGCTGTAACTCTCAAACACAGCAAAAGCACTGCAGCAATCCCCGAGGCCTCTGCCCTCAGTGTCCCGGCTTCTGCATTCCCAGTTACTGTCTGTTGGTTACATATGATCTAAGGAACACTCCACTTCTTAAACCGTCTCCATCCGGAAATTTAGCATTCGTCTTAGCAGCACGCTTAAAAGGCAAGCAGCCCAAAGATACCGTTGCAGCAGAATACCCTGTTTAAAATTGACACTAAATATCAGTGTAGTGCAAAATCCACACGTAAAAGACCTTGAAGTCCATAATTATACAGCCCATTTCTAAAAGATTACAGCCCTTGTGAAGAGCTTTCAGCCAGCTATCAGCAGGCCAGCACATTATCTAGAAAACACGAATTTTTATGTCATAAATGAAATTTAAAGAAAAAAAAATGTATCTTACTGCCACAGAGTTCTTCATATCAGCTACAGCAGAGGTAAATTCACTGAAGTGGAGCTCAGGGCAATACACAAGAGGATGGACCAAGTCTCCACAGTTCCTGCCAGCTTTAACACAAGCCTTTTCCCACTCTTCGTTATTGGTAAGGACAGCAGCGTGATACTTCCCTGTAGCAATTCCCTAGTGAGATACAAGACAAACTCAGGAAGGATTCACCTTAACTGTGCTGGGTAGGAAAATTCTATACTACTCCCTCTCAGCATTAACAGCTGCTTTGCATCTAACAAAAAAATAAACAAAACCAGGAATATGTACCAAAAAATAGTAGCATTAAATTTGTACCCTTGTATCATTCTGTGCATGATTTACAATTTAAGCCATTTTATAGACCAGAAATTCCTGATCACTATCCTCAAACCAGTTCTGCTAAATATAAAGCTATTGAATCGCAAACATTGAGTACTGGATCGCTTACATCAGCTGCTAATGACATCAGAAGAATACCATTTTTTCTTCAAGTATGCAAAAGCAAAAATATTGCATAAAGAACAAAAAAAGCCTGCTTGAGTAATGCAGCTATAAGTGTAACTCACTGCTGGCACAAGCCACGTGCGCAGAGGGTTACAGTTACCGGGGCTGTGGTTGGCAGCTCTCTCTTGCACGAGCTCGGGAAGCCCCATCAAGCACAACAGTTCACATCTACGTCCCCCCCAAGACCAGCAGGAGAGAGGCAAAGGGTGTACCAGGCACAGGCAGGAGGAGGTGCACCCCTGTCCGCTGGCAGTTCCGTATCGGTACCTGAGCTCCAGTGAGAGTGGCCATATCAAGAATGATATCGGCTCCAAGATCTTTGCACGCATAAGCTACTCCATCAGCCAGTATCAGTCTGCCTTCTGCATCAGTGTTATTGATTTCCACAGTTCTAGGAAGAGGAGAGGGCTTTTAATGCAACAGTGCTTCGGGCTGGAAGTTAGGACTCGCCTGTCTGGACTAGAATACTGTATGAGAAAGCAGACTCAAACCTAACGTGCTTTCTTATTTGGCTCTGCAGCTCTGCAGGGCTGCTCGCTCCCCAGCGCAAGCATCCAGGCAGAGCATGCGTGGAAAAGGGTTGTGGCAGTACCGTCCCCGTGGCTGGGTCTCCTTGTTGGGCCTGTGTAACGCCCGGCACATCGAGCTGGGATTTTACAAATTACTGCCATACAGAGAAGTATCATACTCTGCTTAAAACAAGAAGAGACTCTTATACAATGGCAGCCTACCTCTACGACTGAGACAGTATTGATACAGATGGACGCAGAAAACTGGTTGTACTGTAAAAAACACCTAAACCCAAGTGCTTTAACGAAACTTCAGCGCATGATATATGACAGGTATCTTGATGTGTATTTGCATACCCAACAGGAAACTCTAAGCACACTTAAAACTCACTACTACGGCTGTCTGAAATACTACCATCAATATTTAGGGAAGCTGTTGAGGGACAGTTCACAATCTACACAGTACTTGGATAAAGAGAGCCAAAGATGACATTTCCTCTCAACGTTTCTGTGAAAAGGGTAGATATAATCTTACTTTCCAGAGTAAAGAACATGAATGTCATCAGGCCTTGTTGCACGTGGTCCGACTGCATTCTCGGCCAAACAAAAAACGGCATGAAGATTGTCTTTAAAACCCTGCAACAACAATAGGAGAGAAGTGGGTTTTGATTCACATCAAGCTAATTCATTGGGATTGAAATCAATGAGGGATTATGACTTCTTGACAGCAATGCCACTAATTACACGGGAAATCCGTGAGGAATATCTTGAAGCTGAGACCAAGAGCTATAGAAAGCAGGCGAGGAGGTAACATCTAACACCGGTTTTAGAGTTCTCGCTGTAGAGTGAATAAAAGCCTCTGATGCATGTGACAGACAAACGGGGAAGGAACCTAGAAAGCCCTTGTCAATTAAGCAGTGATCAGTACAATCTCCTCTCCGTGGCAAGGTATCCGAAATAAAACATCTTTAATGTGCAGACGCAACTGGAGGGAGTTATGTGTAGCCAAACCCAATTCCCTGGGAAGAGTGTGTTCAGCTCGTTACCGCCAGCACCAGCAAGATCTTCGCAAGCACAACTCCGAAGCCCACTGAGCTCACCAGGAAACTGCCAGGCTCACCAAAGACAAACCCTAGGTCACTAAGCTACAGCACCCCTCTATGAAAACCAGCAGAATACACCTCCAAAGACGCAATGCTTCACTCATCTAATTTTAACACAACTCTAACATTGACTCACCACAGAGATCACAAACAGCATGTCCGGACTGCGTAACTCCTTCGCCTTTCGTAGCCACCATGGAAAGATCCAAGCACGATTTGATGTGACCATTACAAAGGCTTGTGAGAGGACACTACACAGGCAGTCAGGATGCTTGGGATTGTTTTCCAAACCCTGTATTTTCCACTGCTTTTACTCAGCCTCCAATAACAAAGATACAACTGGGCCCATTTGAGAACCTGAGCTCCTTCCCATCATTTCTGCCACACTGAGGAAGAGCCTACAGCGATAGTGGAAAATGCTGGAAATAATAAAAGCTAATATGCAGCCATTTGTGAACTGTATGCTTTCCCTAAAAAGCCAACCCCAGGTGAACAGACTCCATCTGTGAGAATTTTGTTGGAAAGTAACTTTGATCGTGGCAATCCTGGAACACGGCGGCACTCCATGTCTCAGTGCATCTCCCAGCTGCCGACGACACAGCTCACTGCCCTTCAGCATCCAACCTGCACCGCAGGTCAGAAACATGCTACCAGGATCAATCCTCTCTCTTTCCATGTAAAACCAAAAATACACATTCCCTCTTCCCCCTCAGCCTCCTCTTTTCTGGCATAGCCCATTCCAGTTTACTGTGGTTTAAAATCAAGTGCTTTTATGGTTAGGGAAATTTATGATGATTTTGTTACTTATATAATGTCTGTATTGTGTGGAGGGATCCTAGGAACAGAAAGGGACACAGCAGCATTTCACAGATAAAAACATAGTTTCCCCTCAACTGGGACAGCTAGCCTTAAAAATATCAAATTCCAAGGGAAACTGGGGTCAGTTTTACTGTTAATCTCTTGATAAAAGTCCGCAGCTGAAGAAATCTGGACTTGCTGAATCAGCGCATGTACTGAAGTCTAAAGAGCAAATGCAATCAAAACCTTTCAAAATAATGGGCAGCATCTAGAAGCCATGAAGTACCTTTGCAGTTTCTAGTCCAGCCAGCGCGCAAACAGCATTGTTGATGAGATAACCTTCTATCTATGGCCCTTTGCTCTTCCAAAACGGTCTGGGCAGCAAAACCCCCACTCTGTTCACAATCTCTCACTGGACTGCACCAAATTTTCTTCCTCCAAGTGGGAGATGTCGTTAATCTACTGTCAGAAAGCAAAAACCCACTTCCAGTACCAGCTGTCTTTTCCTGAATCTCATTCTGTTTGTAGCTCTTCAAAAGCAGGGTTCACTGTTAACATGCAGGATCAAGAAGGATCTCAAAAATTCAAGTGAATGTTTTTCTCTTCTCCCTTGTGTTGGAAAGCTTACAACGGATGAAATGCATCTTTCTAGGAAAAATCACTTGCCTAATTTTGCCATCCAAAGCCTTTGTAAATCACGCTGTAAAACTGTTGATCAGCATGTAGGCAGATATTTTCTGAAGATGGATAATAACCTCTGCCCCTCTTCCCACTGAGCTTTCTATCCAACACACATTTCCAACTTCAGTCTCTGCGACAAAGCACAGCTAATTTAAACCTCTTCCAGCTTTACATTATTCTTAAGAGCATTCAAAAAAAAGTCTTGAGACAGTAACTATGACAAATTCTTTGCACTGCCTATCTCAATACATTTTCCGCAGGGATTTCATTAACAGGTCTTCTTGCATAAGGTTGTAAAATTAAGCAGCGAGATCATTCTTTTGTTTTTACATATAAAGGCACAGATTTTTTGTGAGGTATGACAGCTTCTTCAGGTCCAGTTTGTCCAAACATATCATGGCCAGTTTATTCATTGTTTTAATAACTGCATATGAAATGACAGATCACTTACATTCACACCTACTGTGATTGTGAACGCAACTTCTCTCAGTACGGCTAATTACACGCAAAACTACTTTGGAAACAAGGACTGAATCACCAGAAGAACGTACTGCATCTATGGCTTTCCCAGACTCTCCCAAAGCTCCGTGTAGTTCTAGCTCCTGTCCCTTGCAAACGCGCGATCTAACTTTCTGAAGGACTTAGTTATGGAAAGAGCCATTCTGCCTAAGATGCAGCTCAGAAATCTGTTTTCAATTTTAAGTCCCTGCAGATAACTGTGAAGTTTACAATCTTTCCACATCAAACATGCTGCTAGGGCCAAGGCACAGAGCTAAACTGTTGAGAAATGGTAATTTGGCACTGATCATCCCCTGGACAAAGCTTCCGTCAGATCTATGCATTAATCTGCAGCAGCAAATGTTCTTTGAACTTTGGATACTCCTTGGAGGCAATAGCTGCTCTGTCAGCAAGACTTAGTCACTGGATTTGTGGAGAGGGCAGAGTTTTATTGGCAGTGGCCACTTCTTTTCCCCAGTTCTTATTGTTAAAGTGCAATACGCATTTTTTTTTTTTTAATTCTTCGTATTTCAATACCTGGCGTCTTCCCAGCTCCCCTACTACTTTCTGACCACAGAAGCAAACCAACAAGCAGCTCCTGATGAGACTAGAGCTGCCACTTCCCCAGTAGGTTAATATTAGAACTGGCACAGGATTTGGAATACAGACAGACTTCATATCCCAGACTCATCCCCTTCTTTGCTTAGGGGACGACAGCTGCCCCAAATCCCACAGCTTAAAATCAGCACTGGGTAGCTCAAGTATAAATCTGATTCAAGGAACTAGAAACCACTCAGTCCACAGAACAAACCCTGAAATTCAAGAAAGACTCTTAAAAAAAAAAATTAGCACCCAAGGAATTTCTCACAGTTCGCAAGATCCCAGTGAAGATTTGAAATGTTTTCCTGAAATAGCTTTCTGCTATTTCCGAAATATTTCTATTGCTATTTCAGAAAAACAGCCTTTCTGCTATTGAGCAGAGTGGCTCAAGATCACTAATAGCAGTGGCAGGTCAGAACTTCAGGACTAGACTGGCCCCGTATCTGGGAATATATCCAAAACCCAGACTGCTCCTTGGCCCTGCTGGGATATATGATATCAATTAACACATTTTACTTACTTGCTTTACAGCGGCTTTGAAGGCACCCAAAATAGCAGCTGCTCCACCACAGTCTCGTTTCATTCCAGGCATAGTAGTCTGTTTAAACAGAACCACAGATTTGGTTTTTTTTCTTTAAGAGAGACTTTCACAGTAATGCCTGCTAAAACTAGTATTTCTGATGCTCCTGTAACTCTGGTCTCGACAGTGCTCAGCCATAACAGAAACACAGAACACGTGCACTTGCTTATTGGTGGGTCTTGCCTTAGAACTGGAAAATACTAAACCACTGCTGCTAATTTGTTAGAAAAGAAAAAAGAAAAAGGTTGTTCACAAGATTCGCTAACTCAAACTGGTTTTGGATCTATCTCCAAATTCAGAAATTAAACAACTTTATTTCTAGCTTTCTCCTAGCAGTGGGCAATACTTAAAGGGCAAAATACCAGGTAGCTATTTAACTGCTCTGCAGAGTGTTTCTTGAATCCTATTTGACCTCCCCTGATAGTTTGTGCCCATAGGGATGACAGTAGACCAAGTGTTTACTCAAACAAATTTGCTTTCCTACAGACCCTAACCACGTTACTTCCATCAGAAAACAACACTGTAAGCAAAGGCAGCAGCAGAACAAGTGTTTATGTACCTTTCCCTTAATGCTGAGTCCTCCAGTGTCGTACACAATGCCTTTGCCCACCCATGCGATGGTCTGTGTAGCACCATCTGGAGTGTGACTGAGAACTGCTAGGGCCGGAGGATGCAGAGCTGCCTTGCCAACTCCGTAGATGCCTGGAAAAGAGAGAATTAAACCACCTGTGGGGAAGAAAGACTGTGGGGAGCAATCTGTGGCTGTTTTCTGTAAAACATCTTGGCATACTATGGGCAATAAAACCGTTTCAAAAATGTGCAAATGAAACATTACAATCAAGATACCAAAACGTTCCAATTAACTGCTAGGAAAAAAGCTGTATTTTCAACAAGATATACCTCCAAAGCCTCTCTCTTTCAGCTCCTCATCTCGAATAATGGTAGGAGTAATCCCAAGATCCTTGCCAACTTTTTTGATTTCCTTAATCATGAAAAGAAAAAGGACATTGTTAGTCAGTCATCAGAAGGACACGTTTGTGTCCTTCCACACATATGGGTGCCCACTTAAGGGTTCTGTGTGATTTTTGCATGCATACACATACAAACATTCACAATTTTGGGAGTGGTGCTGCTTTTCCAATGGCCTAATTCCACTGAGACACCCTTGACTTACTGTGGCATGAAATACAAATTTGACCTTTAAGCCCTGCCAATAAAAGAAATCTTCAGAGGTAAAGGCCGGTATTCACTCTATTGGATCATGATGCAATAGGACAGGAGTATTTTCATTCTCAACAGCTTGCCAGAGCTTTATGATAAAACTCATTCGGAAACATGTCAACTTCTGCCCCATAATTTCAGAAACTCTTACCACCATCAGGCTTAAGACAACATTAGCACTGGCAAAGAAGCCAGTGTCACGACCGAATCAAGAACTCATGTCTTCTGACTCCCGGTGCCTTACCCCAAGCTGTACACTCTGCTTCCTTCCAACTTAGTTCTACAAAATATTAAAGGCCAAAGAAATAGCCCCAGCATCCTTGGACAGGGTCTCTGATGTGCTTCCCACTGCTGACATACAAGTTTTGCTAAGAGATAGCAACACTAGTTCTTGATTACTGCAGTCTAGACTTACAATTAGTAACTCTTACTCAGCAGGTGTATTACCTACCTCCAGGAAGTTATCTGTGTTCATCTCATTGCATGGGGTGTCCACAATTCGAGCAGCCAGCCTGACTCCTTCTGTGGCACTTGCCAGACACTATGAAAAGAAGCGAGGACACCTGAGAACTGGCCTTGGTTTGGCTGGTTTTCTGCTGAGCTTTGCATTCAGTCCTGCACAGCCTACGCCAGATGTGTGGTTCCTCTGGAGCACGTTAATGCTTAACTGCAACCGATCACAGGCGGTCGTACAGTATTAAATAATGCCAACCAAGCTAATAATTATTTTTTGTATGTGTTAAGCTTAAGTTATTTTTCCCCGTGCTCTAATTTCTAAGCAACTGTATCCCTTCCCACAGTGAATTGATATTGCAAAATCAGTAGCCTTCTCCACTATCAAAGGGAGACCGAGAAGGCAATGTGAGGTGGGGGAAAGAAAGATAAGAGGAAGTCACAACGGGCTTGTCGGCTGCTTGGGCTAGAAACCTGCAGAGATTACGTACTCTGCAACATGGGAAACCGCAAAGTTTGTATACAGCAGGCAGAGTGTCTGAGTGCAATAAAGATTATTACCATAAGACGTTCTATATGGCAGGCCCATGGGGAATGCGGAATATTTCATATTTGTGTAAAACATGCATGCATCAGTTTCCTCATTTCTGTGGCAAAATAGACTGACCCTCACCTGGACTGAGTAAAAACTTATCCAATCAAGAGCGGGCAGAATCTAAATGGTCGACAGTGAGCATGCCGAGGCCGTTTCCCTAAAGAAGGATCCTCCTGGCAAAACGGACAATGAGGGCACCAGACACTAAGCTGCAGCTGCTAACTCCTGTGAATCAACAGCCTGAAACAAAAACACTGGGTGGAAGGAAACTTTGTTCACGCTTTCCAGTAGCCACACTGCGCTGAAGACCACACACAGCAGACGGGTGAGTCAAGACGGGTTTCAAAGGAATCCGAGGTGTTGGATAGTCCTTCGTGCCGAGGTATCTGAAGTTTGGCTCGGCCAGACTGGCCTAAGGACTCTACACATTCCGTATCCCAGCAGACTCATAAACCTTGGCTTGCTCTGGAACGGTGCCCGACTCCCTACAATTACTTTTGATGGAGTTACTTCCCCTAAAGGGATAAGGACCTCCTCGGGAGCCAAGCTGGGTTTGGAGCGATTCACCGTTAGGGCCGTGCAGGTAAATCGAGGTGCTCTAACCCAAGGGCCAAGTCCAAGGGAAACAATACAACTTACAGAAACACGCTGTGCCTGGGACTGGCTTCCGGGGTAGGCAAGAGGACCTGGATAACGGCAGCCTTTAATAAGCGCCTTGTAAAACTGTGACAATCCACGGTACTCCCCGCCAGAAAATAGCCTGACAATGCAGTAGGTGCAAAATACAGCAACATGCCAAGGGAGAGGTTTAGCTAAAAAAATCCTACCACGCGCCTCTTCCCTGCTCTACACTGGCTGTCTGGTGCTGGTTGAATTTAAGGGGTGCAAACGTAGCATGGAGGAAGCCAGTAATAATTTTGGCATTGACATCAAGGAGAAGAACAGGAGGTAGAAATAATTTCAGCTTTGTTGTTTAGTTATAAATAACCCATGTGGTTTGGAATCTACCTATCCGAAGGAACTGGTTTTGACACCAGCTATGTTTTTTTCTGATTTGGGGCACAGAAAAATCGGGTGATCGATAGTTGTACTTATAGCATGTATGCCTCCACCACCTTCCTGAAAACCAGCCTGGCATCATTTGCTGTGCCCAAATCAGTTCATAGAGTAAGGACAAAGTGTGGAGGAAAAGACACTGAAAAAAAAAAAAAACCAAACCCCCCCCCAAACAAAAACCACCCTAAAGCTGCAATTCTGTGAATTTCAGATGCAGCAACACCATATCCTTTGTCAAATCCACTGCCAAAATTTTTAAGGGATTTGTATAACCACACTGACTGTCCATTGCCAAAATTTTAAAGGGATTTGTGTAACCTCACTGACTGATCAGCTCGTGAGTGTCCATCTGTACTGAAGCACGGAACCTGGAGCACTGAACGGGAAGCTGCCCAACAGCTTAAGGGCAAACCTTGGGATTGCTTTTAAGGTAGAATCCTGAAGGGGAATGACCTAGCGTACTAAAAGTTACCTGATGTGGAGTTTCCTCTTTGCGATAGTCAGGTGCAAGGGAAACGGTCTTTGATTATCCGCTATTGAAAGACGACTCAGACATATTTAAGTGTTATATATTGCTCATCTCCAAGCTGTATAATTTCTTAGGGTCTTGTTTCTGGCTACAGTTCTGCTAGAAAAACTCAGCCAAGGAGGTACATCAGACAGAAACAGCAGAAGCTATAGGTGATCCCACAATAAGCACCTTTTGGGGACTTCACTATAATATTCACCTGCACAGCCACATACAGATTTTGCCTGGCTAAAAGCGAGAAGCCCGCACACCGAAGGTAATGTAACAATAAAGGCTAAAAATACACTACTTGCATCCATGATAAACATAAGAAAGGAGACATTTTCTTTGTGATATTTGTTTGTTTTCCACCCCTGAAATCTAAATTTTTAATAACAACTTCAGCCTTTGCTGCAATAATATGCTCAGTATTTCTACTCACAGGTGCTGCGAACTGATCAATTTCAAGGAACTTTGACCTAGGATAATTTATTACTTCAGATACACCACTTATTCCATAGATAGCCCGAGACAGATGTATTTGTGCATGCAACAAATTGAAGAAAAAAATATATATTTCAGGGAACAGAGGAAAAAAATGATGACGGGGAAAAAAAAAAAAAATCTTACTTTAAGTGTTGCCACTTCTATTGGTCCATTGTTTTGTCCAACCAGGAAAAACTCTACCGTTACAGTTTTCTTCTCTGTGCGTCTTGACACACTGGACCGATGTGTGAACAACGGGAAAGCCCTGGCCAACGCACAAGCAGAAGCGAAGACTTCAGACCGCTCACAGACCATCTGAAACACCAGCCAGAAGACAAACAAGTTGGACAACATTAGGGGTGTGGAAGAGTGTATTTAAAAGGACCTATTTATTACCTGTGATATTATTGGTGAAGAGGGGAAAAAAAAGGGGGTGGGGGGGAATAACTGCTGCCTGAATCAAGACATACTCATACATCATGTTGTGCATGGACAGAGTGGTGGTACAAACAGCACCACATTGAACTGGTTCAGTTCGTTTCCCATATGGAAATGAATTACACTGCAGGACTTGACTTTGTGGGAATTAGTACATCCTTATAAGGGAGCTGGACTGTTTTAATTATACTAGTGCAACTAATGCAGGTTAGCCTACAGATCAAGACAAAAAAAGAGCATGGGAACCATCAATATGTGTTCAAAACAAATTAAAGAAAGTGAGAAATGATATGAGAATGTGGCTAATATTAACCCCAAAGCTTTTTAACATGTAAAATATTTTTCTAAAGTTCCTTATGAAATTACCAATGGAAAGCAGTTTTAGCTAAACATTTTCAAAGTTAAGTATAAGGGAAAAAAATTAAGTAGAGTTATTACTCTTGCAAATAAGTTTTCCAAGTGAAGAGTATAATTAGCTTTTGTCACTGACACTGACTATATGAGTCTTCTGTACAACCTAGAAATCTGAATTAATCTGGACAAGTCATAGAAACAAGTAAAAAATTTAACAGGCTTGTACAGAAGATGACCAAAGCAGTCCAAGAGCTTATCCTGCAAAGGACTCACATCGGAGCTTTAGTTTGCATTAAGACTTTAGAACTCACTGAACACCACAAACAAGGCACCTTAAACGGGTTACGGAATACAGACACAGCACTCTGCAGGCAGGCTACGTCTGTCTTCTAAAGCACACGCTAATGGCATAAATCCTAGTTTGAAAAGCCAATACCAGTTCCCCACGCATGGAGGTTCCTAGCTGAAGACGTTCCATACATATCCAACCTTAATTCCCTCCAACTGCTTGAGCATTCATACGCTATCACAGTTAGGTCTTGTTTACGCGTCAGTGCAAACCCACTTATAAATGTCAGTATAATTATATCGGTAAAACCTGCCCACCTCCAGTCTCCTTGGATACGGCCAAAATCCTGGAAAGTTGAGAAAATACTTGACTAGACATTTCACCAGAAGCAGTTTCAAACAGGCACTTACAACAATACATCTGTTGACGCCTCCTGGAAGGCAATTTCTAACCAGGCGGGTGATGAACTGCGCTGCGGAGGGGCTGTTGTGCCGGCTGACCCTGGAAGGCAAAGCGGCCACAGTGGCGTAATTCAGGTAGAGAGGACAGCTGTCGGTGGGGTTTGGGTTCAGAGTGCTTAAAGCGGATTGCCATATCTGGGGAGAAAACAAGAATTTAAAGACAAAGGACTGTATCAGGCTTTTCTTTCCATCTCACTCCCACTATATTTAGGCACTCTTTAATTACAGGATTTTAGGTGTTGGACACAAAGAAATTGTGCGGATGCTTTTAAACGCAAAACCCTCTAGAGTGGAAAGGAACAGGAAACACAACGAACCTGTTCATTAACCAGAAAATACAACCGCGCTTCCCATTACGAGCATCTCTTTTAAGCCATACAAATTACAATTTAAAAACACACCATAGAGCGCAAATGCCGCTTCAGCGCTTTTTTGAGACCGTTTTCCCAGAGACGGACTGATTGACTCGTCCCGAGTTACTGTTTCACGCAGCAATTGCGTTAAAAACAAACAGAACAGGAGAGGACAAACGCC